TTAAGGTCATCAAGGATGACATGATCAGAATAGTTCCAAAAGGCTGGTTCAATTCCAGAGAAAGATGGAACTGTAACATTATACAGTTCATTCTCCTCCATGGTGATATTGTTTCTTTGTTACAGAATCAAGAAATATTAGTCATTTTGTAATTAATCACTGAAACCATAAAACAAACATATTTATAGAAATAGTGAAAATACAAATATTTCTGTTTAATATACTTAAAATGCTTTGCTTGGAATTTTGAAAATATAATCCATAATTTATCATAACTTACTACTTTCATATTAATTTCTTTCATTATAATGTTGTTCAATTTTTATATATATTCAAAAGTTATTATGTACATAATTGGAATCAAAAACTTAAAAAAAAATTTGTAAACATAACCTAATCAACTGACTAATTAAAAAAAATTTAATAACTTATTCAGTAATCTCTGTAAACATATTATTTCACTATATTTAGTGCCTGCTCCTTACATATGATACTGTTAGCAGTTAACAAAATATTATCTACTAATGAGTAATAAATAATAATGAGTAATAAAAGAAATAAGGTTTAAAGATTTGTTATCAACATAAAATAGTGACTATCACAAAAGATAAAAGATAAAATATGTACTTTGTTATACATTTATTGATACTTCGGGTTATTTAAATGATTATCTACTTATCAATGAAAGCAAAATATCTATTGTATGTGTATGTATGTATGTATACATGTATATACGTGTGTGTGTATATATATATGTATATATATATATAATACAAACTACATATTTTAAAAAGTACTTTATGAATAAATACCAGGACAAATTAATTTATTCAACTAATTTACCTTTATTCGATAATTATATAAGAATTACACTCAATTTTTGTTGTGTCACTCATGGTTTCGTGTTTATCGGTACATCAGTTTTAATAGATGTCACAAAACTGTCATCGATAGACAGCGACACACATAACCATACATAACCAGTTGATTACCAGCACTAACTATAGATTTGGTAGCGACACCATAGATAAGGCACAAGATAGAGTTCACATCAGATAGAGTTAGTAATGTTCTAGTTGTCCCTTAGATGGCATGAGCTGTTATAAAAACAAAAGTTCGCGGGAAAAGACAGATGCTTTAAAATACCGAAGTATTAAACTCCAGTATTTATCGACTTTTTTATATTTACCCAACTTTATCGAAATAAATAAGAATTAAATAGATTTAGAGATTGCTCTATATCTTATTCGTATCGAGACTAAAGTGATTGTGGGGATTCTCTCCGTTTCTTCGTTACAATTCCTGATTTAGCAAAATGTAAAATTCAGGAGGTTCAATTTAAAGGATAGTTCCCTTATTCAAGGAGGCATCTTGTAAGGATTCCAATAGAGAATGTGCAGTGGACTCCCTCCTCCACGTTCTCAGATTTGTGACTTGATCGAGGAGGCGTTATCGAGAAGAATCTTGTCAAAAGATCCTTTTCTTATCGCTGTCCTCGATTAAGAGGATTATAAAGTTTATAAGTTTCGAAGATCCATTTGAAACATAACAGTTGTCCCCTTTTACTGTTTCTAACTGCATTCTTGTTTGTGAATTTTTTTCTGCTCAAGTGATCACCTAATCTAGTGGAGTATTTCACCAAGAATGTCTTTATTATTGTTGAGTCAAAAGCTAAAAGCGATTCTCACGTTCTTCAAATATTTAGATAATGAGCGCTATTTCGACGATGGAAATTATTAAGATGGCGATATCACGTACCAATCTCCAAAAATTCATAGTGTTTTTTATACCTCGTCAGTGTTTTTAAAAATTATACGTATTTAGGCCAATAGTCGAAGATGATAAAGTCTATGGTAAAATTTGGATTGCAAAAAATTCAGTATTGATTAAGATAAATCATTTTTATACATTTTTATAGTAAAATAAGTGAAATAAATAATTTGTCGGATTTAATTTTAATTTCAGTCACTGCTAATGCTACCAGAAATGCTATAAATTTTTTGTATGGTGAATCGATAACGTTGGAAATTGCATAAAAGTAACAAGATGATTTTCTATCTTACAGTTTGTCTATGGGCGTAAAAATTGGAGCTAATACTGCGCCGTTAACTAGATTTGAATTAAAAAAGAATTAATTTTTTTACACATTTTTGTTTATACATTATTTTAGTGATTTGTGAAGTAGTTCATACTTATTTAATTCATATAACTTGTTCTATACTCACAAAATAATGTATGATCAATTAAATGTTTGGTAAAGATCTTACGGGTAACGGTTTAAATAACTTAAATTTCATTCAGTTTTAACAAATTTTTTATTTTTATATAACACTAAAAACAGTTAGAAATTATTTTTACAATTCTATTAGGTTTTGCATATTAAATAATATATTTATTTTTTATTTTTATTGTATCTATTTCAAGATTCAGGGTAAAATTATATTTATATTAACTTTTCAGTTCGACGTAAAGGTGTAGTTCCAATTAAATTTCTTTCGGTTATATTTATAATATATTTTATTGTGGATATAATTAACGTTTTATAATTATGGAAAAATCTATGGATGTATTTACATGGATTTATCAATTAGAATGTCCACCTACAATATTCAACGATTCAGTAAAACAAATGTTTGTATAAAATTTTATAAATGTATTTTTATTTACATATAATGCATCTTATAACTTTATTCTTGATCATGTATGATATTACTTAAATTATGATCATATACATATTTCAATTTTAAATTATCTATTATTTGTGATAGGTTGTACTCAGGCCTTGCTGGACTGATGTGGGATGATTTAGCTGAGGTTATATTTAGTGCTAAAGAAGCAAAAACAATAAGAAAAAATGTCTTATTATATCATTTAAAACAGAAAACATCTAATAAAGCTGTTCAATGTATGAAAAATTTATTAGAATTAAAATCAGAAAAAAATAATTTAAGGGATCAAATATCTAAGTTAGAGGAAGAATATGAACAACGAGATTTTAGAGTTAGGCAAAAAGGTATGTTATTAACAAAAATATGACAGAGAATATATATTTAACAAATATTTTTATTTAGTCCAAAAACTAAGAGATATTTCATCTAAGCGTTCTGTCATAAGAGCAAGAAGAGATTTACTTCAGATGAAATATGATCAAACTAATACACAACTTCATGATTGTAATAATATGAGATTAGTTTGTCAACATTTAATGCCACAAACTTGCAAAGATTTAGATCATAAAGTACTAATGGAAATGTCAGATGTAGTGACAAGTCTTTGGACCGGAGCAAATAAAAGACAAGTATGTATCTATATAACATTGAAGACAATGACAATTATATCTATATTATTTAGATTATATTTATAGGTGTGGGATATAGTATCAAGTAATCTTAGTCACATTGAAGTATCTACATTATGGCATTATTTATATCAAAGCTTAACTGAAGATCTGGATATATTAATTAAATCAGAAAATATGAAATCAGTGGAGCCAAATGGAAAACACATAAATATTGGTATTGCTAAAACATATGGACAGCATATTTCCATAGTCTCCAAACGATTATTATATAATGCAAGAACAAGTAATCATCAACAAAATGTTTTGGAATATATAGAAAAGATTGAGGTATGTTAAATATTAGTTAAATATAAAAAATTAAATATTAAATATTAACTTTGTTAATTTTAATTCTAATTTTAGACAGCTTCAAATAATTCTTCAGATATAAGTGAGTGGTTAGCATTAGCATTAGAAGTGCACAAATTAGAAAGTGAGCAAAGAAGTTTACAAAGAGAAATTGATAAAATTCGGGATGATTTATATGAAAGTAACACATTTGCATTTGATCTAACACAACTAGTTCTAGAAATTCAAAATACTAGTGCTGAAATTGTATGTTAACATTTTATAATTATTATAGTGTGTATATGTATACATGATTATTTTTGCATTAATTTTAAAATAATTCTAGGCAACATGTATACAAGATATACAGCAATCGTTAAACCTTTTGAAATCTGCACCAATGTTTCTCATGAAAACAGAAGAAAAAATAAATGCGGAGTTACAAAAAATAATAACAATGCGAAATGATGGTTATGACTGTACAATGTTAAAAAATGATTTATCTACTGAATTGGATATATTTCATAATGTTTTAGATCTTAATGCTTTAAAGAAAGTCATGTTAAAAGGAGAAATTGGAATTTACAGGTCAGACTTCTTCCATATTGTAAAAATTTATTACTTTCTATTTCTAAATCTAAAATAAAAATTGTAAATTGATTTGTATATTATGCAAATGTTTTAGGTATACAAAAAGTTGTTTCAGTGAAGCATCTGTTTCAATTACTAACTCCCAAATTTCAAATCTTGCATCATATTTTCCATTGATTCAAATTCCTATATATTCTTTAATAGAATGTTATAAAAATCTAATTTCAATGTTCATGTATAAAAAATTAGAATCCTTAGAAACTGAAGAATATCTAAATACATTTCATTTACCCCCAATAACATATGAGGAGAATAATTATAATACAGTGGAACTTTTGAAATTATCACAAAATATTAATACGCAAACGAGGACAGAAATTGATGAATTTAATGAAATCTTAAATGATTGGTAAGTATATCAATTACAATTAATATTTTGACTGTGGATGGCTATTAACGTTTGTATTATTACTAACAGGGTGAATCAACCGGTTCAAAAAGTAATGGAAGTTATTGAAAAAGCTGTAGATGGTGCAACTTTCCCAGAGTGGATTGAATTTTATGATTTATTATTATATAGGTTACAAAATCCTACATAGTTATGTGTATAAATGTATTTTATTTTTTATAATCCAAAATTTTTATGACATAGAACTACATATGTATAATAGAATAATTTATATATTTTGTTATTAAATTTTGTAACATTAAAAATATAGTTATTATTTACTGGGTTGGCAACTATGTGATTTTAAATAAGAAGGAAAATTCAAAATTTTTGATTAAAAATATAACTTTATTCAATTAGGTATTGTCTGTTTTTGTTGATGACCTTTTGCCATCTTTCAGGCAGTGTCATAATTCCATGTACATAAAACTTCTGATTTGTGCCAGCAAAAAACTGAATTAATTGTGATTTTACATCAGCATCATTAAAAATTTTACTATTTAAGGAGTTCTGCATGGAACGAAATAGGTAATCTGAAAGCGCAAGGTCAGGGCTATATGGTGGATGTGACAACACATCCCAACCTAGTTCCAATAATTTTTGGCAAGTCACCAAAGATGTGTGGAGCTTTGCATTATCATAATGGGCTACCTTTCTTGAACTGCATCTCTCAGTTTGGCGAGTTGTTGAACGTACATGTTTGAAATAATCGTTTGGTTTCTTGGTAAAAGTTCAAAGTACAGAATTCCTTTATAATCCCACCAAACTGACAGCATAATCTCCTTTTGGTGAATCTCAACTTTTGGTGTCGTCTGGGCTGATTGATCTTGCATCATCCACGATCTTTTCCAATTAATGTTGTTATAAACTACCCACTTTTCGTCGCCAGTAATCAGTCGTTTCAGAAATGGATCAATTTCGTTGCGTTTCAAAAGCGAATCGTAGATGCTAATGCGTTGCGTCAAATGAATTTTCTTAACCTGATGAGGGACCCATAAATCGAGTTTCTTGACATAGCCAAGCTGTCTTAAATTTTTTTTAATGCATGTATGAGATACATTGAGGTTCTCTGCAATCTCACGCGTTGTGCTATGACGATTTGAATCGATAATGGCCTTGATATGGGTTTCATCAACTTCAACTGGACGGCCAGACTGTTAGATAATGGCCTTGATATGGATCTCATCAATTTCAACTGGACGGCCAGATCGTTAAACATTTTTCAGTGAAAAATCATCAGAACGAAATTTGGCAAACCAATTTTGACACTGCTATTCTTTCAAGGTTTCATTCCCATATACGGCACGTAACTTCTTGTGTGCTTGCGATGCGTTCTTGCCTTTTCGGAAATAATACAATAAAATATGTCTGAAATGCACGTCTTGCTCTTTCATTTTTAAATTGGGGTAAAAACAAAACTAAATAACTAATCGATACAATTTTTTTACTAAATTAAAGGTGGAAGTCCAAACAACATAAACGCAATACAGGTTAGGTGCTTTGAACACGCTGACAAAACAAAAAAATGTGCTAAGACCACCTATTGACAAAATCCGCATACCACTTAATTGCCAAACCAAATTATCATAAAAAAACATATGAATCCTCTAACGTATGTATATACAGTCTGTTCAACGAGACGAGGCATTAAACTTAAAATTTGATTGCTACGACTGCAATAGCTGCCGACTAGTGATTAGTAACTAGCGTCGACAGAGTTTCACTAGTCGGCAGCCAATAATTGGAGTCACAACGTCATATTTTGTTTAAGTTTACTCTGGTCTCGTTGAATGGGCTATAGTATTCTAGTATTTATAGTGACTTTATCTATACTCATAATCATGGCGGGTTTTGTAAGTAGCGTATTTATAAGTTTAGTCTACAAGGATAAAAACTAAAAAGAATTATTTTGTATAATATACAAGCAATAATTATATCTCTGCACTTTTACGATTAAAGAATTTAATTTATTGTGGGATAAAATGCTGTCAGTTGTTCTGAAGTCTGTATTTGGTTATGATGATTTTAAAAGTGATATTCAGAAACAAGCAACCACTGCTGTTTATAAAGGTTGATGTCATTTATAAATAACAAATATGTGGAATTTACTTATTTTTTTATCGGCATTAAAATTTGTTGTTATTCTTAATATTTCTGAATAAATCAACTACAATAAATTAAACATTTTTAGCCAAACAAGATGTATTTGTGTGTATGCCAACTGGATCTGGGAAATCACTTTGTTTTCAATTGCCAGCTTTAATGAAAGAAGATAAAATCACAATTGTTTTTTCACCATTACTAGCTTTAATAAAGGTATATATATATATATATATATATATATATATGTTACAAATATGTATCATACATGAGCATCATATAGAAATGTAGAATATCCAAAAACAAACTGAATCTATCATATAATGTTTTCTTATTGTAGAATCAAGTTGACTTTTTAATAAGTAAGAAAGTTAATGCAAACTCATTGAATTCAAATACATCCACTAAAGAAAGAAATGCAATAATGAAAGATTTAGCATCTAATTCTCCAAAAATCAAATTATTATATGTTACTCCTGAAATGGGCGCACAGCAACATTTTCAAGTAAATGACTAATTTACAATTGTGATAGAATTTCCAATGGCTGTATGCATATTAATTGATTATTCAAATTACTTTTCTACAGGCCACAATAACAAGATTGAACAAAATAAAAGCATTATCTTATTTTGTTGTTGATGAAGCCCACTGTTTGAGTCAGTGGGGTCATGATTTTAGACCTAGTTATAGAGAATTAGGAAAATTTAAAAAATTATGTCCTAATATTCCCATAATTGCATTAACAGCTACTGCTGCAAAAGAGGTAAGTATGTATACTTTATAAACTTAAGGTATTTACAAAGGTTTAAAATTTAAATAGTGTGAAATATATTATTATAGGTGAAAGATGATATACTCCAATGCTTAAATATGAAAAACCCTGCCATATTCTCAGTTCCTGTATTTCGACCTAATCTTTATTATGATGTATGGTTTTTAGAAATATTAGATAAGCCATTTGAACATTTAAGAAATTTTGTTATAGAAGCTCTTGATTCTCAAGATAAATCCATTCCAAAAGTAAGTTATTGTGCATGATAAACTTATAATATATGTAACATATGTTAGGTAACATACATAAGTACATAATATGTAACATATATAACAAAATTAATTGCAGGCCAAAAAAAATTGTGGCATTATTTATTGTAGGAAAAAAGAAGCAACTGAAATAATTGCACATAAATTATCCAGTTCTGGTATACCTGCTCTAGCCTATCATGCAGGTAAATGTTATTATTATCCCTAATACTCATGAAACTAACAATGATAAAATAACTAGTAATATCTAATAATTATTTCTACAGGTTTAAAAAATCAAGAACGTAATGAGGTTCAAAATAAATGGACATCTGGTGAAGTACCTATTATTGCAGCAACATGTAGTTTTGGGATGGGTGTAGACAAGGGCTCTGTTAGGTAAATTATTTTATTTTATAGGAAGTGTATGTCACTTTTACTGACATTTGATAGTAATATTGTAATTTTATGTGCAGATTTGTAGTGCATTGGACAGTTCCTCAAAATATAGCAGCATATTACCAAGAATCTGGTAGAGCTGGCAGGGATGGTAAACCAGCATTTTGTAGGATTTATTTTAGTAATAAAGAATATTCAGCTATTGCATTTCTTATTAAAGAAGAAATCACGCGAAAAAAGTCTGAGCTTGTAAAATTAAATTGGAAAAATTTTGAAAAAACTGTTTCTTACTGTCTTGAAGCAAAGTAAGAATTATTATATTATCTATGAATATTCTCTTATATACAAAGATTTAAGTACGGTTTAATGGATTCTACAGATGTAGACATGCAGTGTTTTCTAAATATTTTGGAGATAATCCACCTCCATGCAAAGATAGGTGTGATGTATGTAAAAAGAAAGATGCTGTTCAAGAAAGAATATCAAAGTTTGAAATGTGTCAAACTAGATCACAATCTCAACCTAAGTCCAGTAGCAATTTAGATGGTATTGCTTTACCAAAGTATGATGTTGAGTAAGTAATATACTTTAAAATGTTACAGTTATATATATTTTTTACTAAATTATAATTATCTCAGTCTTAATTATTTTTATTTACAGTGAAAATGAATATGGAGGGAGATTAGACTCAAGGGAAAAATTATTAGCTGAAAGTAAACGGGAAACAAAAGAATTAATTGAAAAACAGTTTGCTATTCGGAGAAATAATAATAAAAGCGTCGAGGTAAATATATCTAAAGGGTAGACTTATATCTCTTTTATCGTTTTTCTTATCTGTATTTTTCCTACTTTAGTTAAAAAAACAAAATCGTGAAGATGCTAAACAATCTCATGTACGTGCACCTGAAAGTACTGATATAAAAATAAAAGGTTTAGCTGTGCAAATTCGTGAACATTTCTACAATCAATTGAGATCAGCCTTACTGGATAATTATGAAGCGGTTTTTCCTGAATCTAAAGGACAAATTCAAGAGACTGATATGCATGATTTAGCATATGATCTTGAATATAAAGAGTTATGCAGCAGTAAAATTGCAAATAAATATAAATTTGATATGTCTAAATTGGTATGTAATTTGGCATTTTATATAATTCATTCATACTTCATTCATGATGTTTAATAACTTGAGTTTTTGGTAAATACAGATTTCTTCGATACGGAAATGTACCAGTTCTAATACGTTACATGAACATTTACGCGATTTTAACGCAAAGAGTAAACAAAATAAGCGACTAGAATATTTTAATGAATATGATAAAGAAAGAAATAATAGTCATTTAGAACATGACACAGAAGATAAGTTAAGTAAACAAGCAAATAAAAATATTTTATGCCCTACATTTAAGACTGCTCTAGAACTAAAAAAAAGCGAAAAAATATTGGAAAACAAGCCTATTAATAAGAAAAATATATTCGAGGCAAGTATTTTACAAGACGATAATAAAGATATCAATATGATAGAATCAAAAGACAATGTTAGTAAAAATTGCTTCCCTTTTACTGAAGATGTGGTTGTTAAAAATAGTTATCTCACAAAAAAAGACAGTGAAAAAGCTATAACACAACATAAGACTACTGACTTTCAAGCATTAAGTGGTTTCACATGCGCTCGAAAGATTCACGAAGAAATGTTATTAAAGGATCACAAAAAGTCACGAAAATTTTCGAAAGAACCCGCAAAGGAAAGTCCCAAAACTAAAAAAGCATCTCCCGCAAGTAAATCAGTTTATGAGCAAATTTTGCAATCTACAAAATCAAATTCTGTTGTAGTTATAGAAGATAATGAGAGTAACGGTAGCACTAATATCGAGGTTGAAAAAGAATCAAAATGTCAAAATAAAAAGAAACGTAAAGATGTAAATTTATTTGAAAGTAACGTAAATACAAAATTGAATAAAAAGGTGAAGTTTGAAGAAAAAAGATGTTCTGCAATTAACGAGGAAAAGGTTACCAATACTGAAGACATTGAAATAAATGAAATCTTTAGCGATAAAAATAATAAAATTAATCATGAAAAAATTGAAACCAAAGACATTAAAGATAAAAGAATATTTACAACAATAGAAGATATAGAAAGAAAAGAAATGTCAGAACAGGAAAGCATAATAGTTGAACATGTAGAAATAAAAAAATGTTTGCAAGAGAAACGTGATAGAAAAGACCATTTAAAGCAATACACAGATAAAGATAAAAAGAAACTTGTACCTGCAGATAAAGCTACACAATTTAAAACTGTAAAAATTTTAAAATCATACTTAATGAAGTATTACCCATCTGAACGTATCCCTGATCGAACGGCATTTTCAAAAATATGTAGAGAAATGCATTATACTCTCCTTGGAAAAAAGATATTTGGTAATGTACAATTTTAAAAAGTTTTCATCTTTTTATGTTATTCAATTACTTTGAATTGACGGTAAATGTTTCAGATAAAGAGGGAATACAACAATTTGTTGCAAAATATATGACACAGAATTAATAGCCTTTGTCACAAGTGTCCATTTGAATATTATAAACAATTACACAAATTTTGTATATATACCTGTATAGATATGAAATCATAATTTGATTTAAGAAAAATTTTTTATTCATTATATATATTTATATCGGTATTGTACTTGTAAATTAAAACTCGAATTTCTTAAGTGTATCATTAAATGTATCTTTTTATTGAAATTTTTGTATTTGTAGAATCGAACCGCTGTAGTTTTTAATAAAGTATTTATGAGCCTATGCTTACAGTTTCTTATTTTTGCTTATAGAATATGTTGGCATTGTATTACAAAATAAATTTGGGGCCCTGTGTTAAAAACATTATTTATTGAGCAATTCTTACAAATACTTATATGTATCATTAACATTTCACTGGCAAGAATTCAATATTTTTGTAAAGAACATAACATTATTCCCATTAAATTGTGCAGAATATATAACTCAAGGAAATAGAATTTATGTATACAAAAAATTGTTATTGTTTTAAAGCTAAACATGATTTATAGGAATATATTTATTTGCATATTATAAGAATACTATTTCCTTAGTTCACTACAATTATTATTTAGATCTATACATGAGGCAAGAGTGATGAAATATTTAAAGAAATATCCATACCTATGTTATGGGAACTTCAAAAATTTATATACAATATGAATACTATATATGTTGAAAATTTGTAATTAATGTTGTTTGAACAATATTTACAAGTAGAGAATTAACTGAGATACTTTGATATAAAAGGGGAAATAGTACATTTGGTCATATTTTAAGAATAATGTAGTCCTAATCTCAGAATTATAAATTTTCTTCAGAAAACTCAAATCTTAGTGTTAGAAACGTCTTAATAATTACTTAAAACTAATGGAAGACTATCACAAATTTAATTGTACATACGTGAAATTACGAAATAAATGAATATGTGATAACATTGCGATCTGGTATCATTATATCATATCATATGGATATGGTATCAACCGATTATATTGAAGTTCAATGACAGAATTTGCACTTAATAATAAAAATATAAGGATCTTTTTTATCATTGATAAAAAAGAATCTATGATGATAATATGTATATTTTACCACTTTTTATGATTAATATAATATAATACTTTTAACAGCTCTTAACAAAAGAGCAGTATATATTTATTTAGTATATGTAATTAATAATAAAATTCTATTACTATGATATCAATAAATATGTTTTAAATATACAAAATCAAATAATCCACAATCCCCTTTACCGTTTCCTAAATCCATTTCAATTTTAATTACAAACGATGCTATTCAAACTTGATATCTTTTGTATATTATATTACATATGATAACATGATTGGTTATGTTAATGAAGTACCAACTACCTCATGTTTTTCTTTTAATATTTATATGTATTATAAATCACTTAATCACTATACCAGTCTATAATATCAGTCTTAATGCACTTAATTATTTATATAAAATTAGAAAACCCCTTATGTAAATTATTGTATTCTCTTGTGCTTCTTTATCTATAAGTGCACCGGTCTTTGAGAAATTTATTATAAATATAAAATACCATCACCAAAATATTAATAATAAAAATTTCTGCACCCATCAACAATTTTCCAATAACAAAAGATGTTAATTATACGTAAAAGTAGAAACTAATAATTTCTGAATTAGCACCGTTTGTATTGTGTCGTTTAATCAGTAAAATTACAATTGTTTAACAAGATGTCACTATTTACCACTTTGCGATTCCATTTGAAAAAGGTTATCAATTATTTCATATTTTATACACTATGCAACTATATTTTCATTCTAAGATCACAGTGCATTAATAAATAAATAAAATTTCAATTTTACGATACTATATCCAATTTAAGAAATATCGAAGATAAACATATTTTCTTACTTATCGATGTGGAATTCGATATTTCGTTTGTATCGACCGCAGTATCTCGAGATTGAAAATAATCTGTATGCTTCCCATTGGTTTCGAACATCAATTTTACGCGGGAAATAGCCTCTTTCTATAGTTTTCCCGGATGTTGATGGTTACACGATATCTTCTTTCAAAGTTGGTAAGTCCGTTGTTAGTTCGGATTCTTTGCTTTCTTCTTTCGATTCAATTAACGAACTGTAATAAGTATCCATTTCGTCGATCTTACACGACATTCGCCTACTGTTAAAAAATTGTAATTTTTTGTTTTTCATTTGAGAGCCGAACCATTGGGTAGTCAACGTTGATTCTTTCGGATGTACGAAGATTTTGCGAACACCGAGAGCTATAAGTATAGGGCCAATGAGCAACGAAGAATAAATCATTATACTTTGAAAAACCGGTAAGAAATTTAAGTAGAACCAGAAACGAATAAGCATCGATGTTGGCAATTTGGACATTCCCTGGAAAAAATATATTGAAAATTAGATATATTTTTATGGGAAATTTTACAAAATTTATATTTATAATGTATTTATTATATTATATTGATAATATCATGGATTATTTAAATTTATTTGGTAAATCCGAATGTCGAGATATCAATGCTATTGATATATTCGATATTGAAAGTATATGTTCGATACTTGCAATTCGATATTTTTCAGTACTTACGATTTCGAACCACAGTAATGGTAAGACGAAGTTTTCGAATTTTTCTACTCTGGCCATATGTCCGATATTTTGCAAAGCCATGTTGATTTGAAAACGGAAAGCAAACTCTACCGGAAGACCTGACTGTGGTTGAATATATACGAAAGATTCGTGAGCATCACGGTTTGGAGTTAACCCTTCGATAGATTCCAGGATACTTGGATCGGCCTTGTAGAAGTGTGGATACGAGAGAGCAATTGGAAATCCTGCATCATTGTAAAGGTAAGTAATCAACATGAATATATAAATTAATTTCCTTTCTTTTCGTTCTTTTAACTCCATATTCTTAATGTTAATGGTTGTACGAAGATGTCGTCGATTGTTTATTATTACACAGTGTATTTACTCATGTATCTACTAATTTTTTAATATTTACTAGTATGAATGAATTATTCATTCTTCTTTGGTAATTAAAGCAATTAGAGTATATCTACGATTGATATAGGAATTTATCTCCCTAAATGGATCTTTTTTCTATCAAACTATAACTATCAATCTGTCTATCTTGACTATGTTAATTGATACTGTTAGTATGAGTAATGGGAATAAAATTTAACGACACCTTTTGATTTAATGTTAATACGATCCATACTTTGAAACATTTTTAATATTCGTCAATGTAAAATATATATTTTTTTATGCTATTTTTATAATCATTTAAACCATTTTACCGTAATAACAGTCGGTGACATCAATTAAGCCAGGTTTTAAACAATATCCATGGCGGCAGAAACATTTGTTCTCCGGAATGTAAGCACCATTATCCATTATATTTTCGACAAATGTATATTTATATGTATGTAAACCCTTTATTGTTTTTTCTCCAATTCGTGTCTGTAAAATTATGTTTTAATCTTACTTATTATACCCTTCGATAGTAAACATCTACTTAACCTCTAATATTTTATATACTATTTACTATATTTTTGATAATAACTTTCTTTTCATAAATCAATGGTAATTCAAAGTAGTACGAGGATCCTTCGAAGATATATTACAAGATATTATGAAATTATTTGAATACGTAATTCTCAAGTGTTTAACGTGTACGAGCATTGAGATACAACTTACCATGGTGGCACTGCGACAGAGGCTTTTTCTAAAGAATAATACGGTATCGTTCGGCTCGATGTAATTTGCATACTTTGCTCCATCGCTAGCCCCCTTCACATTCGCACATTTTCCTGTCCATTGCGGCAAATTTACATCACCATTATACTTCTCAATCAAACCTGTCCGCCGTATATCCTTCTCGCCGGTATAAACGTTTATGTAATCACCCTCAAAATCGTACATCTGTAGTAAAAAGGAAACACTAAAATCTCTGCAAAATCAGATGTACAGTCGAGATTCGAAGTGATACCTAGCAAAAGGGTAACGACTTTCCAGAAGCTTATAAAATTGTTAGTTAATATTTTTCAAGAGGACCTGATTAAAATTTAAAGTAATAATCGTCTGTGAATTAATTTATTAATATAATTGCGAATTAATAAATTTTCAAAAGAATTGAACAGACAAAGTTGTTAAGAATTTGAAACTCACTCTGTCAATGAGACCTAGTTTGTCAAATTTGATCCACGATGGCATCATCTTATTGCCAAGTGTAACAAGAGTGGATTTGTAGCCAAACATAAATTCTTTAGCAGTCATTCGTACAAGAGGGTACGAATTTGTGTTAACGATTAGTAGATTTAATGCTAATCTGGTTAGATAGGCAGAATTCCTCATTACGTTTGTGATACTCTGAAATGAAAAAAGAGAATTATCTCATAAAAATGTGAAAAATTATTTTGCACTTGAATCCTTTTATAAAGATTCGAAGAGTCGAATAAAATAGCTTCCTGATTATTATCAAGATATACATATAATCGGATTCTAATAAATAAATTTGACGCTAGTGTAAACATTTGTGAATGTTAGCGATGAAACAGTCTAAGCTCGCTATTAATTAGCTATTTATTTTCTTTTCTTCCATTTGTAAGCTCATCAATTTTTGTGTCGCGATATAATTAATCTTCTTTATTATGAAATGTGATTTTTCATGGTCGACGTATTCTACAGTTAATTAACGATGACTTGTTGTCGGAAAATGTTAAAGAGAACATTATTCATTCCCGTATCTTCTGTTAGGCGACTTAATTATGCCGTTTCGTTTTGTCCTCGTACCGAACTAGGGTTTCCCTCATCTTCATTTTCTGTCTGAAAGTTCATTCACGCGGCTGCATTTAATTACATGCATTTACCGATCTATGTATACGACTAGAAGATCTCGCTTTGCGTTAACTATTTTTTTTACTACATATATACATTTGTATGCATGCGCACTGGTACATGTGCTACACACGAATATACATTGATAAATTTTTTCTTTATACTTCGACTGCTATGAATAATTATTGAAATGTTCTGAAGAGGAAATTGCACTTTCGGTTTCACATTTAGCTTTCCCTCTTCGTTGTTGTACGTAACAATCGTTCTTTTTGATGTTTCTAAGAACATAATTTAGAACCGGACACTAT